ATTCAGTCATTTGCCTCTTCACTTTTCTGACTGTTTCTTTTGCAGTACAGAAACTTCTCAATTTGATGCAATCTCAAATGTTAAATTTGGCTTTGACTGCCTGTGCTTCCGGGGTCTTTTCCAAGAAGTCTTTGCCGGTACCTATATCTTGCAGGGTTTCTCCAATGTTCTCTAATAATTTGATGGTGTCGGGTCATGGATTTAGGTCTTTAATCCATGTTGAGTGGATTTTTGTGTAAGGTGAAAGGTAGGGGTCTTGCTTCATGCTTCTGCACGTGGAAATCCAGTGCAACAGATAAAGGGTTAATAACCAGAATCTACAAAGAGATCAAGAAACTCCAAAACAACAGAACAAACAATCCACTCAAGAGATAGGCCAAGGACCTAAATAGACATTTTTCAAAAGAGGACACCCAAATGGCCAACAGACACATGAAAAAATGTTCAGGATCACTACCAATCAGGGAAATGCAAATCAAAACCACAATGAAGTTTGACCTCACCCCGGTTAGAATGGCTCACATTCAGAAATCTACCAACAACAGATGCTGATGAGGATGTGGGGAAAAATGGACACTAACCTACTGTTGGTGGGAACGCAAACTGGTAAAGCCAGTATGGAAGTCAGTCTGGAGATTCCTCAGAAACCTGAATATAACCCTACCATACAACCCAGCCATCCCACTCCTTGGACTTTACTCAAAGAAAATTAAATTGGCAAACAAAAAAGCTGTCTGCACCTTAATGTTTATTTATTGCAGCTCAATTCACAATAGCTAAGACCTGGAACCAACCCAAATGCCCATCAACAGTAGACTGGATAAAGAAATTATGGGACGTGTACTCTATAGAATACTATACAGCAGAAAAAAAAACAATGAAATCTGGTCATTTTCAACAAAATGGATGAATCTGGAACAAATCATGCTGAGTGAAATAAGCCAGTCCCAGAGGGACAAATATCATATGTTCTCCCTGACGGGTGACAACTGACTGAACACCAAAAAGGAAACCTGTTGAAGTGAAATGGACACTTTGAGAAACGGTGACTTGATCAGCTCTTGTCCTGACTGTTGATGTACAACTTAATACATTATCCCTTTTAGTATTTTTTTTGTTCTAATTAATACTATTGGTTGAACTCTGTAATTAACACACAATTATTCTTAGGTGTTTAAATTTAACTGAAAAGTGATCTCTGTTAAATATAAGAGAGGGAGGAGATGTATAATTTGGGACATGCTCAAGCTGACTTGCCCCAAATGGTAGAGTTAGAAATGTGCCAGGGGATTCCAATTCAATCCCATCAAGGTGGCATGTGCCAATGCCATCTCACTAGTCCAAGTGATCAATTTCAGTTCACAATTGATCACACTGATAGGTCTAAGAGTCAAAGGGATCACATAAACAAGACTAGTGTCTACTAACACTAACTGATAGAATCAAAAAGGGATAGAACGATCCATGATGGGAAATGGGATACACAACAGACTCATAGAATGGCAGATGTCCTAAACAGCACTCTGGCCTCAGAATCAGCCCTGAAGGCATTCGGATCTGGCTGAAGAGCCCATGAGAGTATTTTAGGCATGGAAAGCCAAGACACTCTGGCAAAAAAAAAAAAAAAAACCCTAAATGAAAGATCTCTGTGAGTGAGATATCAGTGGAAAGAATGGGGCCATCAAAGAAGGAGGTACCTTTCTCTGAAGGGAAGAATGAACTTCTACTTTAACTATGACCTTGTCTAAATAAGATTGAAGTCAGCGAACTCAAAAGGCTTCCATAGCCTTGGCAACTCATGACCAGAGCCTAGGGAAATTACTGATGCCATAAATAAGAGTGTCAATTTGTTAAGTCAACAACAGGAATCACTGTGCACTTACTCCTCATGAAGGATCTCTGTCCTTAATGTGTTGTTCAATATGAATTTATGCTATAACTAGTACTCAAACAGTATTTTACACTTTATGTTCTGTGTGGGTGCAAACTGTTGAAATCTTTACTTAATATATGCTAAATTGATCTTCTGTATATAAAGCTAATTGAAAATGAATCTTGATGTGAATGGAATGGGAGAGGGAGCAGGAGATGGGAGGGTTAACTGTAGGCTCAGGTCTTCTGAGAAAGCACTAGTAGGAAAAATCATTCAAATGTGGTAGGAAAAACACACAATTTAGAGGCCAGTGCTGCGGCGTAGCAGGTAAAGCCACTGGCTGGGATGCTGGCATCTCTGTGAGCGCTCCACTTCCAATTCAGCTCCCTGCTAATGTGCCTGGGAAAGCAGCAGAAGATGACCCAAGTACTCAGGCCCCTGCACCCATATGGGAGAAGCCTCTCACTCCTGGCTACCATCTGGCTCAACCCTGGCTACCACCACCCCCTGCCCGATAATTCTGACTTTCAAATAAATAAATCTTTTCTAAAAACACACAACTGTAATAGCAGCAAAATGGATGACTTTTCCTGAGCTTTCAAAAATTTTGGAATTGATTCTTAGCCAAAGATGATCCTCCTCCACACAACAATTGATCACAATATTATATTTTCCCCTGACCACAAAGTCAATCTTTGAAACCCATTTTCACATGCATGCAGTTGGAGGTGGTGGAGAAGGGAAATTAGTTTCTTAGACAGTTTCATTAGGGCTTGTTACGGAAGTGGAGCTGTAACAAATGGAGCCAAGGATTCAGCTTGTGTGTTTATTTTTCCACCACAATCAATAGTGTTTGCTCCGTTTAATGTCACACGGATTGTAAACCCTGAGCCTTCCTCTTTTAGGAAGTGGATCCATTGAGAGCCATTTAACTTTAAAGAAAGAGAAAGCTCAAACTTTTTGTTCAAAAATTCAATTTGTTGTTACAGAAACATGGTTCTCAGGGTTGTACGCCATTCCTCCTTGTGCTGACCATAGCCACAAACAAGTGTGTTAACAGAAGCCACGGGAGCCATACCAACCCACGACTGGACATTCCAGGCCTGAGCAGGCCCTCAGACGTGAGGCTGAAACAAATATTTCCAGGAAAGTGAAAGGGATTTGAACACCAGCCACAAAGCCAGAAACACATCAAATCCACTTTCATTCAGCCAGATTTGGGACTGGCTTTGTCAAACAACTGGACTCTGCCTGCAGTAGATGGGCACAGTTGCATTTTTAGGACACTCCAGAGCAGAGAGCAGAATAAAGTGTCCTGGTTCTTGGTCCAGTGTCCTGGGCAGCATCATATTCCCTCCTTGCCATCACCCAGTCTTCATTTCCGCCACACCTCACATTGACTGAAACAGTCAGCCGTCCATGTCTACCGGTTCCACAACTGCAGGCTGAGCCAACCATGCATGGGAAATATTTGAGGGGCTCCAGCTATGACACAGTAGATTAAGCCACCACATGCAATGCCAGTGTCCCATATCCGAGGGCCGGCTCAAGGCCAGCCTGTTTCATTACGATACAGCTTTTGTTAATACACCTGAAAAGGCACTGAATGAGGGCTCACATGGAAGACCAGGATGAAGCTCCTGGCTCATCTTTAGCAGTTGTGGCCATTTTGGGAGTGAACCAGGGATGGAAAATATCTCTATATATCATCCATCTCTCCCTCTGTCACTCGGCCTTTCCAAAAAGTAAATCTTTAACTAAAAAGGAAAATATTTGAGGAAAAAGTAAATCTGCCCTGAACATTATTCTGTAAACAGTACAGTATAAGAAAAACTTTATAAAATAGCATTAACATTGCAATAAATGTAGTAAGTAACCTGGAGATGATTTAACATACGCAGGATTGCATCAATAGATGCAAACACTATGCCATGTTCTATAAGGGATTTCAATAGTGTTGGATTTTGGCATCTAGGTAGATCCTGGAACCAACCTCCCTGACCCCATATGGAGGAACACCTGCAAAGCCCTGTGTACTCCCATATGCACCTGCTCATGGCCTCAGGCTGAGCACTGTTTCACTGTATTGGCTGATTGATGGGTCAACTTTTTCCATCTCTCAAGTATTATTTGACTTTTCTAGTTTTCCACACTTTCTTGTCTTCATTCCTATTGTTTCATATAAACAATATACATCCACTCAGGTAATCTTCTTTAGTTTCTTGGAATATAAACATACACCAAGGTCAGTCATTCCATATTTGTCTATTTGTTTAATTTCCATTTTCTTGATATCACTTCTGGCAAAAGATGCTATCATCTGAATTTTAATTTACCGTCAATTTCCGCTGTCAAAAAAGCAGAAAAGAAAAGCAGGAATGAAATTATTCTCAGCAAAGGAAGGCTTTAATCTCTTGGAATTAAAAACATAAAAGTGTTTGATGAACTTTGTATCTTTATTACTTATTTGGAACCAAAATTTTATTTCAGCAAAAAGTCATTTAAATTTTTCTCATTAATCATCCCATGTTTATTTCTGATTCATAGGATAAAACTTACAAGAAGAAAAACACATAACAGCCCAGAAAAAAAAGAAGACATTTGGTCTCACTTGGGGAGGAAAAATATCTCCTTCTTCAGGGCAAGGAATTCGTTATTCTGAGTCGCTTTCAGAAAGGAGCTTGCGTGTTTTCTTATTGATTTTGCTTCGTATTTGGTAGCAAAATAATGTGAGAAGAGGCAGTGAACATGTCTGGCAACAAGCCCAGATGCTAAAAAATGTGTCAGGACTTTCTCTGAATTCCATCTTTTTCCCAGAAAGATGAGTTCCCGGTTCCCTCCGTCGGGGACATGCAGCCACAGGGGTGCACTTTAGGATGGAGGTTGCTGGCAACCCGTTAGTTAAAACACAAGCCTGTGGGATTCCTGGGTGTGCTGAGAATTCCCTAGCAAGCCCGTGGCACAGCAGAGCCCAAGCAGGTGGAAGCCTTGCTCCCACCTGTGCCCTTGTCTCCACAATGAGAGCGATTGCATTCTTGTGAAGGTTGCTGGGGTGGAAAGGGGATTTTGAAGAAGTCCCGTGTGGTTCACCTGACCTGAAATGATTGTGCATGTTCCTGTTCCTCAGGCAACATCAGGAACACCGAGAAGCTGAGCTACGACAAGCAACACCAGTATGAGATCCTGGTGACCGCCTACGACTGTGGACAGAAACCTGCTGCACAGGACACGCTGGTGCAGGTGGACGTGAAGCCAGTGTGCAAGCCTGGCTGGCAAGGTGGGCTGGTGTTTATCAGTTCCATGTGTGAAGGTGGCTCAGCCCATTGGATGGAAGGTTGTGGGCTTACTCCCACATCATCACAACCAAGGGAACTTTCAAAGCACGGTCACTTTGCTGCAAGAAACAGAATGGCTTATTTATTCCCACAACTCTTACAATGCATTATCCTCATGTTACAGCCAAGAATGTCAGAAGCAGCTTAGCTTGTCTAACATCATGTGCCTGGTTGGTCCAGTGCTCCCTTCTCCAAATCTCATGACGTCTGTGATCCATAGAGTTTATCCCTATTGCTGAGAAATTTCGGTGAGGCCCTTCACTGTGTCTCAGGGTGCTGAGTCTAGCTGATGCATTTCGCATTTTCTGAAGGTCATCATGCTCATTGCCACCCAGCACACACAGGCAGGGGGAGAGGCCCAACATCCAGCCTCTGGCTTAAGGAGTTTCTAAAATGCAAGGCCTTAGCTGACATCTCACAAGCAATGCAAGGCACCAAGAAAACGCAGTTTTAGCAGCTTGACCTCTTGTACCTGTTCTAAGTCATTTCCGTCCAGGCAGGAGGGGATGGCAGTACAGCGAAAGCAATCCATCATGTTCAGGAGCCGCAGCCTCCCCTGGCACTCTCCATCAGCACGGCGCCCAGTCCCGCTGCAGCCAGCTTCTCCCAGAAGCTGTCTCTGAACAAAGCTCTTTCTCATGGCCAGAGCCTCCCCTGCCTTCCCAGGATCCCTAAATGACCTGCTCCCAAACTCCAGTGATGCTGCCATTGCTACCCAGTAACCCCTTCCATGTTCAGGAGCTTGGCTACCCCAGCATGTTTCTGGCCTTGCCCAGCTGTGCACAGGCAGACCTCATAGTCCCAGGCTCTGCTGCCACCTGCCTTTCAGGTGGCCAAGACACTTTGTGCTGTGACTGTGGTTTCCCAGTTTCTGTCTTTTTCACCTGGATTGGGCTTGTCTTCCCAGATGGATATGGGCTACCTGAGGACAGGACCACGCTTCTGGCAGCCACTGCCACTGAACTTCCCTGTGCCACCAAAGCATCAAAGAAAATCTTGCTCACTAGCATCACTCCCCAGTGGGCAGAGTGGGGCTTGTCAGGGGTTCAGGTGACAGCAAGGGGACGAACGGAGGCTTGGCATCCAGGACATGTGTCTGGCTCCTGTATGGCATCCAGGATGCTAGGCTCGTGTGTCTGGCTTCTGTACGACTTTTGCTTTCTCTGCTGTGTTCTGAGCTTGTAGTTCTGCAGGGAGCAGGAGGGAGCATTCCCATTGTCCCTTGGCTGGGGAGGAAGACGTGCTTCAAAACAAACCAGGCTTGTGTGAGTTGAAGGGAGAGTCACAGCACAAGCTTAGAGAACTCACGGTGGGCTTACAGGTGTCTCCAGTGCACAGAGATGAAAGATCACCCCGGGCACCAGAAAGAGGTGCATCTGCATCAGGCCACTCACTGGCCAGAGCTCCTCTCCTGCCTCCCATGCCGTGCCTCTGGATTGCAGTCTTCTTAGGGTTTGATGCCCTCTGGCCAATTTGACAGAATTTTCTAGGCTTGGACCCCTGTGTGCTGTGAGGGCTAAGAGGAGCTGCGTTGGCTCATGGGAGGCTAGTGTGCCTGGGAGGCCAAATTGATGGTGGCAATAGCAGCTGGAGATGGAACTGAGCCGTGGGGCCCCATTGACCCCACCCTAGGTGGGCCTGACCTGTCCCCTGGAGGATCATTCGTAATGTAGTTTTGATATAGGGGATCTTTGTTTAGTTTTTCTTTCATGTTGTGTTACTGGGAGATACGCACCCTTGTTTATGCTTTGCTTTATTGTTTGTACTTTGTAATCCCTTGGGGCATCTCTTGCTTTGTTTCCAGCTGAAAACATTGCCACAACGCTTGCTGGTCCATTTTCCCTCTGAGTATTGCAAGTCTGACTTTACATTCATTGCCTGTTCCTTCCGGTCCAGACCTGAAGTCCAGAACTTCACTGTCCCTTCACCAACGTCACTGCCCTCTGCAGACAGCCTGGTGACCCTTGCCCATTGCTTCCCAGGCCATGCAGCCATTCTGGATCTGAGACTTGCACCCCCCAGAGGCCCCCACTTCCACATACTTGCATCACCCCTGAGCGTGACTGCTGGGCAGCTAAGACACCTGGCCCTGTAGCAGGTCACGCAATAGCAGGGAGTTTCCCCAGTGGGCCCAGCCACCTGCTGTTCCTTTTACCTTCCCAATAAGGTGTGTCCTACTTCAAAGAGCTCAAAAGGGAAATGCAGCCACATAACTGAACCATTTCCTCCCTGGTCTTGGAGTAATTCTCCAGGTGCATCCAGTTGTCTCTCACATTCCCTCCAGCTGGGCCTCTGGCCAGAAGGCAGGGCCAGGTGCTCTAGAGGGTGCCTCTCACCCTTGAATGTGCACGGAGTCCCCCAGGGACTTGGGTAAAATGCAGATTCCAAGAGGTCTGGGCTGGACCTGGGTGCCCCTGGGCCACAAGCTCCATGTTGAGTGAGAAGGTCACACAGAATTACTTACTCGATTCTTGCAGTGTGCCAAACACTTCTGTGTTGGGAAGACAGCAGGATGAAAGCTGTTGCTTGAGATTACTGCTCCCGGAGTTATTTGCATTGTAAGAGACAACTGAAGCTGACATGCCCTCACACGGTGGGAAAGATTCTTGGAGCGACTGCTCCCTTTTGCTAAAGGCCCAGTGCAGGCTAAAGGTTGTGGGTATGGAGATACATGTAGCAATGCCAAGAGCAAAAGCTATGGTAGAGGGAATTGTGGTGACACAAAGCCACCCCTTAACATGCATGAGGCAGCAATCTTGGGACAGATGCCCTTGGACCAAATCTAGAAATATAGCAGGCTTCAGTGTGTTGGAAGAAACGTGATCTAGAATGGGAAACTGGTGTTAGGAAGGTGGGAGGGAGCCTGATGTGGCCAGGTGCTGGTGGGGTAGGGGAGGGGGTGGCAGGGAGAGACTGGGCTGGTGGAGAGGGACCGCATGATGGAGGGGCAGACCTCCTGTGTTATCCTGAGGGCAGGGGGGAGCACCAGAGAACTCCATGCCTAGTGCAATGAGGGAGGGTCTTAGGGAAGGAGGGCTGCACAGCCAATCACCTGTAGGGCAGCTGGTTGCAGTGACTGGGGACAGAAAGGCCAGGGGAAAGGGAGGGTATTCCTAAGTGCACTTGTAAGTGGACCACATCATGCAAAGGATCTTTAGACCTATATGATTTATTCCAAAATTAAAGTACTGGGCCACAAAGGAGGTTAGAGTTGCAGGCAAATCTTGTGAGAGTTACAGGCGAGAGGACAAAGTTGGCAGTCAGGCGTGTGGGGCAGAAGAGGTTCCTGCTAAGGATGGTCAAGTGCATGTCCCCATCCCTGCTGTGGCCGCCCACCTGCCACCACTCTGCAAAAGGAGCAAAAGGCTCAGGCCCCAGAGGTCAACTGACTTCACCATGCCCCTTCCAAAAGTCAGATCAATTATCGATCAGGTACACTGAACAGCTGACTTAGGTCTTATTCTGTGAAAGGCATTGATTTCCAATCGTAGGGGAACCAGCCCAGGAAGGAGCTCGGGTTTGCTTAGCAAAACAGTCATGCAGGGCTCAGATTCCATCAGGTGACGATGTCACCCCACAGCAGGCTGTTGCCCAAGGCACTGCCAGACAGAGGGAGGAGAGCAGGGCTCCGTGGTCTCAGTTCTGCCTTCTCGGTGCTGCCGGGTGTCTGAGATCCCACCGTGTCAGTGCCAGCCTTGGAATCTAGCAGCCAACCCCCCTTAAACGGCAGATAGATAGCTCTCGCACAAGTCTTGTGTTAAGTGAGCAGTCACCAAAGCGCAACCTGCAGGCAAACCAGGTCCACCACCTATCACTGTGAGTTTAAAAATACTTTTTAACATTTTAAATGGTTGCAAAAGGGAAGAAAAGTATTTTATAGCGTATGCAAACCATAGGAAAAATAGGCTGCAGTGCCCATCAATAAGGTTTTATTGGAACACAGCCACGCTCATTCATTTCTCCACAGCCTACAGCAGCCCTACAACAGCAGAGCTGAGACTGCATGGAGACCATCAGCCCCGAGGGTCTGATGTTTACCACCCAGGCTCTGCTAGAAAAGGCGTTCTGAGCCCTGCGGGAAGTTCTTGCTGCCTATTGACACTGCAGCAGGAAGTAGTTTCCGAGATGACCTTGCACAGCTGGAAAGAACGGGACATCAGATGGATACGTTGAGATGCAGGGCCAGGAGCCTTGAAGGCCAAGGAGCCATTCATGGCACAGAGGCTGGGAGCCTGCTCTACAGGGATGAGAGAGATTGAGTGAGGGCCCCCGACTCACAACTGATAAGTGGCCCACGTGGAATTGGACTTCTATCTGTCCACCCCAGAGGGCATTGCTGGTCAGAGCCAAGCAGGAGATGGGAAAGGAGGCTGGGAATCTGCACAGGGGCAGCGTAGAAGGGAGGCAGGATCTGAGTGTCCTCATGCCATCTATTTTGTAAAAATAGATCTATCTATCTATCTGAAACACAGAGTGACAGAGAGAGAGATCTTCCCTCTGCTGATTCACTCCCCAAATGCCAGCAATAACCAGGGCAAACCCAGGAGCCAGGAGCTCCATCCTGGTCACATGGGTGCACTTGGCCCATCTTCCATTGCTTTCCCCAAGCACATTAGCAGAGAGCTGGAGTGCAAACCAGCACTCCATTATGGGATGCCAGTGTAGCAAGCCACAGCTCAACCCACTGCACCACAACACCAGCCCCTGGTTTCCTTGCCAAGTGACAAGACTTATCTAGAAAGGGTAGCCACAGTCCACTGAAACAACAGCCACGTGGCACTCAGGACCTGGCCACGTGTCAGTGCTCTCTCCTCTCTCTGCCCACCCACTGCTTGAGCAAGCCTGCTGTAGCAAACTGTCTCCTCGAAATCACAACTCATTCCCAGTTGAGCCCACCCTTGTGGACTGTCCGTCTCTCAGAGGCTGTTCGTCTGGAGCTGAA